AATGTCATTACCTTCTTTTAGGAGACAAACCTTGAGAACCATTAAATGCATAGCAACTGTTCATGTCTTGTAATAAGTAATTCAGTTAGGGTTTTTCTTTGCAATATTGGATAAACAGGAGAGGATCTAAAAAAGAATAATTTCTACCTTGCTGACGCTGTATATTGCCTTCTTGTCTCATGTAGCTCCAAAACACAAATGAGGAACAGAAGCTACGGATTAGAAAAACACAGCGCGCACTTGAACTGGCAGAGGTTTGTGTTATATTCCGAAACAATTCAATAATTTTGTTCTCAAGTGGCATTCACATTCCTTATTTGTTTACAGGAGGAGCTGATGAGGGCACAGTTAGAAGCTTCATCAAAGTTCAAAGAGTTGGCCGAGGTGAGAGCAAAATCAGTTTCAGGATTTTTGCTTTTGCTTAATAATTATTAGGCTTTCAGCATAAAAGCTTAATCTAAACACCCATTTTAAATGCTCGCCTGGACTGTCTTATTAAGCTTCTCTTCCCCTTATGATCATTGATAGAGTCACATTCAACGGAGCAGTGAATTTTTTTTATTTAACTAAGCTCCTAGAATAGTCCTAAATCCTACTTAAGGCCACAGCTTCCTCTTGGCAATAATAAGGTTTTTTTTCCTTTCAATTTCACATTCCTTGTTTGTTATAATTCAGGATAAAACGATGCAATCCTATGATCCAGAATTAGGAATGGGAATCAGGTTCGGATGATCATGTATATTTTGGCGGAATTTTGTGTGATTACATTATTAGTTTGCTGCGTATACATCATTTAGGGAGAATACAAAGTGTAGCAAGTACCCCGAGTAACTAACAAAATAATATAATTATCACTTAAATGATATCAGTAACAAGAAATTTAAAAAGCTGAAAATAATATGTAGTAAAAAACTAAACTTCCCTGCAAGGAGTATATCTTGAAACAAGTGAATAACTTGGGTAGCATAATAAGAATATAAACAAAAGGCAGAACGTCAGTATCCTCAAAATTTATATGAAACATGTTTTCAATATTCGAATTTTTAAATATTATCAAATAATTCAAAGCTTTCCATATTGACAGATACCTACAGTTAACAATGCATCATGATACTCGTCTATCGCCCAGGTTTTAAGCCTTGACGGATTCCAACAGGAAAAAAGTTATAAATCACCTGTACTTGGAAATAAAGATATAGCCTTCTAAAGATGTGAATCTTATGTTTGGTGTGATTTTTATTTATCTTTTTAATTTAGTGGATATATTGTTGATGAAAATAGTACCATTTCTCACTGTATTAATTTAACTATCTTTGCCCACAATAGCAAAACCATCTTAGGCCCTAAATTTCACAAATTTACTCCACATAAATGTTATACCAGAGGTCCAGAGTTAATTAAATTTCAACTCATTAACTAAGAGAAATAACATGTTCCTTGTTTCTCTCATATCTATTAGATTGAACAGATCTAAAGGAGTACATGACACTAGAGAAATAAGAATGCAACATGATGACAAGTGGAACCATTCTTGCAGGGTCTTGTAGTATGAAGGAATAAATATTCATTCTCTAACATAGTCACTAGCTTAGCCCCACTTATACGCTTTATGCCTACATACAGCACGGTTCAGTCTAGAAAATGAGGAAAAAGTAAAAACTTCACCGGGTCATAATTGCGTCTTTTTTTCTTTTTGGCTTGTAATATAATGGTACAGTTCTAGTGAGAATATTTTCATTTAAAGTGTATATCATCTGTTTTCTGCTGGATGCAGATTTCTTTCTTATACTTCTGATAAGTCACATCCTTTCTTTGAAATTTTGTCGTACTTTAAATGATTTATCTAAAACATCGTGAAGTGAAGACTTAAAAATTAACCAATAGGGATACTGTTCAGGTTCATGGAGCATGGCTTCCACCTTGGCTTGCAACACATATAAGTTGAGCATGGCTTCCACCTTGGCTTGCAACACATATAAGTTATATTCAGGTAGCCAGCGTCACGCTTTATGCGTGTTAATGCATTTCGGTGCTTTGCAACACATATAAGTTATATTCAGGTAGCCAGCGTCACGCTTTATGCGTGTTAATGCATTTCGGTGCTTGTGATGATTCTCTTATGGAATGTTTAACTTCTCAACAGGACCTTGCAGTAACTCACTGGAATGAGCATGTGAAACCTGTATCAGTTCTTATCCTGAATAAGGTGCTGTCTTTAGTCGAATTTAATTCAAAGTTAGAAAAATTCCTCCTTATTACTTGTGCTTGATACTTGGAAAGATTATTGTATTATTCCTTTTTTCATGTTGTATTCACCGACATTTTTGGATCTGAATATTCTTCTAGGCCTCACAGAAGTTGGAAGAGGTGCAAAAATGGGCTGAACCCCACGTTGATTCAGCAAGAACTGTGAGTTCTTTCAACTGTTCTGAAATTAAGTTAATGTATGTATTACCTGGAGCTGTTTTTAGGTCTTTTTTCTTTTGTGTTGGTTTTTTGTTCTACTTTACTGGGCATATCTTTGAAAAGTATCATTTGCATTCCTCTTGATTCTTCATGAACAGATATTCAAATTGATATTGCAATTTAATTGCTAAATATCATATATTTATTAACCATTCATAGCTATTTCCTGACTGTTTCCCAGGATTTGGGTTTCTTTCACTGTCTTTCTTGTGGTATTTGTATTTCTTCTAACTTTATTTATTATATGAAGAAATGGATCCCTGCTGCCAAGGAACAATTGATGATCTTTAAATCCAATGCTAAACCCCACTTGCAAAGAATTGCTATTGTAGTCTTTAAGGCTTATGAGGCATCCAAAAACACTTTTAGACAGCATGTTGTCAGAATACAGGAAGTGGCATATCCCCATCTCCAGGTAATTTTCATTATTGCTTATTCATAAGGGTTCATATATTTGTTTTTGTTTTTGTTTTTGGTTTTTTTATTTTTCCTCTTGTTAGTATTTCTTCTTGCCAATGCCTGAAGAAAATATGTACAACATGGTGCCAGGACGCTAGGGAGTTCTTAAAACCATACATCGATAAAGCTGTTGACATATCCAAACCTCACATTGCGAATTTGCAATACGTTGTGATGCCTTATAAGAAACATGTGGCTCGTACTTATCGCAAGTCTCTTAGAACAGCAAGAACCTATCACCGCCAGGTGTTATTCGCTTCTTTCTTCACCTAATACTGCAATTTTACATGCCTTATTCATCTTCATCTTATGAAACTCTATTTTCATCTTCAGCAGGTTTACTGGTTATAATGGAAACTCTTAACTTTTGCCCATGAAAACTCATGTAGACTTGACAATTTTTTATTCTAATAATTTTACTTTCTTAAATATAGGAATACCAAATCTTATGCACGTGTATGATATTCATCATTCTCTTATGTCTGACCTCTGGAGTCATTAATCAAATGTATTAGATCACATACTGCCTATATGTGAAAAACGAACATAGGCTATGCTCAACTTGGAATGAGGTCATTTTCGTTAACTGTAATTAACAATGTTCTGAAGTGTGGTCTATACTACTATGCATCTGGTGGATGTTAATGTCAGCAACACTACTTTATTATTATTATTTTTTCACAAAAGTATCCTCCCATAGAGATGGAGGGGCCCTTAATAGGGAATCATATCATATAAAAGGTAATAGATACATTAAAGGCCTCCCTTGGATAGTATGACTCATACAAGTCCAAGGTAGAAAGCACAAAAAACAGTAATTGAGAACCCCCTCACACCCCCCACAAAAAAAGTACAAAATGATTACAAAATTACACATGTAAGTGTAGAGACGGCCCAACACAATCAATAACCATGCCAATATGTATGGCCAATAGCATCCTGAGCAATGAGGTTTCTCATGATGGCGTGGAGGTCTTCACATTGTAATAAAAGTGTACCTCACTGAGATTGTGACCATTCTTGGAGAGACAGATGAGCAACATTGTTGGACTCCCTATAGCAGTTATCAACAGATATAGTGTTGGCCTGCAGTTTGTCATGTATGTGCTGCCACATAGTGGTGAGATGCCAAAAGATACAACCCTTCCCAATCAGTTCCACAATGGATTTGGAGTCAGACGAGCAATTAGTGGGATTTAAGTCAATGTTATCAACTAGATCAGCCCAATTGCAAGGGCTTTGATTTCAGCATGCAGGCGGGATAGGACCAGAAAATGCAGCAACAAAAGCACCCTCATGGTCCCTGATGATACTCCCAACAGTAGTGACATTGTCAACACATGAACCATCAACATTGAGGGAGAACACACCAGGAGGCGGTGGTTGCCAAACTCAATGAAAGGAGGGCCTAAATATGGGTGCTCTTGATTTTATGCCAATTGATAACAAAGAATCCTGACCATACTTAAGAGGAGCTCATCACAGGCTTCACCATAGCATCAAGGTGATGAAGAGTGTCAACCATCACCAGTCTAGCATGTATGTGGCCCTTCACCATGGCCCCCATATATGCAATTGTTCCTGTAGCTCCAAATTTGTCTACAAATGGCAATGCAATCAAGTCTACCCACAATAGAAAAATGTGATAATTGCTTTTGCATTTCATAAACCACTGTTTGAGCCTAGAAAATATGGTTTGTTGAGGGAAGTGTGGAACAACAAAAAAAGCACTGAAATACTGCCAGAAGGAGTGAGCAAGCTCACAATGGATGAAGAAATGATCCAAAGTCTTCTCTTTGTGGTTATGGCAACAAACACAATTTAAAGCAATAGAGATACCCCTCTTTTTAACAACTGAGTTAATTGGCAGGATTTTATAAAGTAAATGCTAGCAAATAAGCTTGGAGTAGAAAAGCATGACTATGGATCAGATGTCCTCAAGCAAAGAGCTGGTGGGTAGATTAGCTCTCACCGCCCAAACTGATTTTATGGTGAAATTAGAAGCCCAGAAGCCCAATGCCTCACTTCATCATGCTCCTTAAATTGGGGGCAGCAATATACAACATTTCGATCAGTTCATGACCCAACAGAGGTTCCAGTTCTTCAAAACTTCATTTACCATCTACCCAAATATCTCTTAGTTTTAACATTGATATCCTGTGTCATGGAAAAAAGCAAGGTTAAGCTCAGACCACCAATGATCAAACCAGAAGGAAACATCTCCTTTGCTAATAGTCCACAAACACAGCTCATTGAAAATGTGTTTGACTGATAGTACATCCTTTCGTTCTGTTGAACACAGCAAAGGACTCTTCCAAGATAAAAAGGAGGCACCGACCTTGTATTTAGTTTTCATGAAAATGACCCAAATGGAATTAGAAGTACAAACTTGCCAGCATTTTTTAGAAGAAAGGCAGACTTGACCTCAAAGAGATTTCTAACACCAATTCCACCCTCATGAACCGGATAAGGTAACTTTCTTCATCGAAGCTAATGTCTTATGTCACCTGTGGCTGTTGTTTGAGGAACTAGAAACTAGCCAACAGAGACCCAACCTTGTAGATCACCATTCTAAGGATGACAGCAGTAAAGGGAAAATAGATTGGCATGCTGCCAAGAACATAACCAATAAGCATCAGTCTACCAGCATGACTCAACTATTTTGAGTGCCACCCTTGAATTCTTGCACAAATTTGCTCAACTAAGGATTGTTATAGGAACATTTCCTTCGGCCAGAGCCAATATGGACCCCCAAGTAAGTGATGGGGAAACTACCTTTGGAGAATTTGGTGATTTGTAGAACAGATCGAACCCTTAGTAGAGTTGCTCTAGCATGTAGGTAGAAAAAGTGAAAAAGTTATAAATTTTAAAAATAAAAAAACTAAAATATTACAATGCTAAGAATGTCTGTACAATTTTACAACATTGTAAACGTTTTTTATGATCAAAGGTGATAAATGGTCAAGAAGTGTTTATATCTTAGAATGATCATTTTTTCTATTCATAAAGACGATAAGACAAGAAAGACATGGTTCATAGAATTAAAGTAGAGCATTGACATGAGAATTCTTGTAGAATTTCGTGTGATTGTAGGATACCAATGAAAGATGGCAGGTTCTCTTATACGACTATGAGACCAACAATGCTTATTATCAGAATATACAATTAAACAAAATTCTAATGTGTGTGTGTATATGGGCACAAATATGTATGAGGTGGCAACTCCTTTTGCTACATGAACTAACAAGAAAAAGATAAGTTGTAAAGCCGGCCATGCAAATCACGTTGGATGTGCGGGCCTCATCACTTTTATCATGTAACAAAATGAGCCGCTACCTCAGACTCATTAAATCCTATAAGTAAATATATAGGATTGTCACCTCATTTAGCAAAATAAGGTCTCTCTAGACACTTCAAATGATGTGCATAAAAAAAATTTAACATTCAAATTCCAATGTGAATGATTCAGGTCTAAATCCTTTTCAAAGGACTTAAGTCTTTTTAGACACGCAGACACACACACTTGCTGACCAACACCCCCCCATGCACACACGCACTGGAGGATCCATTTCTGTAATCCACTTTACTGAAGTTGTCTTACAACTAAGTGCATAAAAATTAAAAAATCAAGATTTTAATTTTTTCGCTGATGCATGAAATGCCTAACTAACAAAATGAGTGACAATGATGGTATTTTTACATGGACCTGCACTTTAGTATGTAGATGATAATTTCAACCCAGACATTTGATTTTGATCTAAAACCTAAAAGTCTGACAAACCAAATTTTGTTAAATGTTAGATATTTAGGCTAATTGTGAACGGGTCCCTTGAATGCCTCGTTTGGTATGCGAGAATCAGATGAAGTGAGAATAGAATGGAGCAAGGAATGGAATCAAATGAGTGTGGGAATGGAATGCTCATTTCCATTTTCATGTTTGGATGTGACTAGAGAATAAAATGGGAATGAGTTTTTTTTTTAATTTTTTGTAATGAATAATCAATAAATAGTTTGGAAATATTTGGTATGTATTTTAATTTTTCTTATTCTCACTTATGTAGAAATGCCAATTTCCTACTAACTCATTGGGCATGTTCATTCCCATAAAATGTTGGACTAAAAGAAAAGTGAGAATGAGCATTCTATCTTCCAAAAGGATGTTGTGTTTGGTATGCATGAATGTGAAGTGGGAATGAGCATTTTATTCCCACTCATTTTTGCATACCAAACAAGACCGTCGTATCACATAATTGTGAATAGACCCCCTGAGTGATTTATTATTGTTATTATTATTTTACTCTTAAAATCGATAAAAAGGTTCTGAGGAAATGGATAGACCGCCAATAGTTTTACCTTTTTTTACTTTTAAAAGAGTCAAAAAAGTTTACTAAGGGGGTGTATTTGCACTTGGGATAGTACTATAGGGGTCTACACGCACAAATAGAATTGCAGGGGTCTATTCGCAATTGGGTAATACTAAGGGGTATATTTGCAATTAACCCTGAATATTTTAGCCAGTAAACAATCCAGCTCTATTTTTAGACCATTTATTCAAGTTTTTTTTGTTGATATATGAGTAAAAAGAACTTATGAAATCTGATTTTTTTTTATTTCAAGGTGCTTTTAATGTTGTAGATAAACTCTCACAGAGTTGATATTTCACATGAATTGCTAAATGTCAAATAGACCTCCCTCTGCATATCTACATGCGCGGCAGCCTGTGTCTGTTAGAAACCAAATTTGAAACCCAAATTTTAACTGACCATGTCATACGTTTAAGGCCTCTTTCAAGAAAAAAATTGGGTTGACACACTTAAAATATCTAAATCTTAGTTTATGTGAGATTTTGAATAAGATACACAATATAAAGCACTCATTGATATTTACTATTTACTAGAAGGATAAGATATGTGCTTTCATCTATTCTGCTGACTTTACCTCATTGCTGTGTGGCTCTTCTCAACTCACTGCATCTGAAGGTGCAATCGTAGTTGTGTACATGGGATGTTTGATAATTCTATTCTCGAGTAAAACTGTTATTTCATTTGGTGCGGTATCCCTAAAAGATCATGTTCTTCTGCTTTTGTAGGTTCAAGACAGCATTCACAAGAAACTAAAGAACCACGAGCTAACAAAACCTTATGCAACTAAAGAATTGGCTTGGTTTCTGGTATGTATCTCTAGCTTCTACATGAATATTTGTTGACCTTTTTCTTGAAAAAAAAGCTTGTTCTGGAATGGTGACAGTAATCAAACATACATGACACTAAGTTCGATATTTTTCCAAAGCAGGCCTCTGCACTGTTGGTGTTTCCTTTGTTCTTTCTGTACAGAGTTCTTGCATCAGCGTTTTGGTAAGCTTTAGTTATCTGACAATACATGTGTTCACAATATGTCACCTTGGTATTCCTTGCTTGGTTGCACATTAAATTTGTGGCATTATTACTTCAGCAAAAAGGCAAAGAAACCAAGACAAACTGCCCATGCAAGTCACATGCACAGGCGACCTAAGCGCAGACATGCAGAGAAGTAGGACTGCATTAAATATCTGTATGTGCTGTTTAGTTTGAAGGTATTTTGTGCTTCCTTTACATGGACCTTGATATTAGAGTAGTATATCATTAATTCTCCATTTTAGTCATGACAAGATCAATTATCTGAAGTGTAGAAAGTGTAGCGTGAAATGCGGGGAAGAAAGGAGTGTAGCAGGAAACAGGGTCTGTGTCATGTTTGAAACTGATTTGTGTGTGTGCGGCCCCTGCATGCTGTGTGTGTTGTGTATGGGTGTGTGCACGTGCGTGTGTGGGTGCGTCCGTGGTGTGATGTGCGCGTGCGTCTTTCTTGTGTTTTAAAGCGTAATTTCTTCTTTTAGGTTTTTGAGTATACTGATGTATGGTGTGAGTTGAATTCATCAGCATCTAGTCTTCCTCTGTCCTGTGTATATCCGTGTGTGATTGTGTGTGGGCACACCTTTTATTGTCTTGGGGGGTGCTTGGCAATCTTGAATTGCAGTAGGATTATAAACTGAGTCATTCTTCAAGATGCACCGGGGAAACTTCTTCTATGTAGATCCATGCATTTACCATTTCAAAATTTCCCCTTCTCCCTATTGTGCAAAATGACACTTTTATAAGATATTGCTAATTTTTCATATCGTGACATTAGTTAGTGCTACTCTCACGATTTAACTTGTGCCTGTCGAGATCTGATATTGGTTTCAACTGGTTTGCCAAGCACACCCTTCAGGCAATAGTTTTTGTCTATAAACCCAAAGTTGTACCCTGATTTACTTTGAAATCCGCACACTTCCATGTATGTAGATAGTTGTAACCATTTATTTTTAAACATTGCTAGGATAAAAATTTCAAATCCAGTTCAGCTTGTAAATCAATAACTCCATACTATAAATATAAACTAAACATTTGCATTTTCATCTTTATTTATTTTTCCTATTCTGGAAAGATAAAGAATGTTTTCTCATTTACTAGTGTCTATAACTAGTATTTTTGACCCATTATAATTACAGAAAGACTGACTGGTGTGTTTCCGTGCAGGATTCACCTGAGCAAATTATGTTCGGAGTACTGTAGTCTCTCTTTAGTGCTCGAGATATTCGAATTAATGGCAGAATAGTTTAGGGTTCTCCAGTACCTATTGCCGGAAATGTTGGAAGTATATGACATTCCTTTCATTTTTGCTCCGGTTGTTAAGGGGTTGTTTGGTTCGTTTCCCATGTATTGGGAAATACAATTTTATGTAAAGAAATCCAAGTTTTGGGTTTTCCAAACTTTTCCAAGAAATAGATTGTTTGAGTTTGTTTCACATATAAAACATGATAGGAAACTAATGTATACATTTTTTTTGTGTTTGGTTGGCATCAAAAAAGGGGAAAAACTTTTAGTTATTAGACATTTTTCACTTTTTTTGTGTTTGGTTGGTATTAAAGTGTGTGTATATGGTAACCATGGTAAGTTTACCCCTTAGTAAAGACAAATTTGTTTGTGATCGTTAATGGATGTAATCTTACTAAAAATAAAAGTGTAAATATAACATGAAAAACCAGTAAATAGCCAAATTCATCATAAATATGTGATTGACATAAAAAATCAGACGAAACATGTAATAACATAATTATTTTAATTGTTATGAACTATGTACCTGATTTGATATGAAAAAAACTTGTTTAACAGGAAAAATCACACGAAACCTGTAATAACATGTTTATTCATAAATTTATGAAATACACACCTGAATTAGCAAAAAATTCTTATGAGTCCTGTAAAAACCTATAATCAACTTGATTAGTCATGAATATTTATATGACATGGAGAATCGCATCAAACCTGGAAATACCATACATGTAGATAATTAGAGACAGTATTATAAGAAACAAAACCAATTAGGTTTCAAAACCACGAGCTCTACAAAACCATGGGCAAAACCAACATAAAATTTATTGATCCAAATTAATATTGTCAGATTCAACATCCAACGATCAAGTAAATGTACCACTCCATATACATCTATAAAATGTAATGTTGCATGCAAAATGTTAATCAAGAAAAAAATATGAGTAAGAAAAGTAAAGATATTGGTGAATCTTCATTTGTACCATCAGCAAAGGTAAGAGTATTTAAAAATTTTATGATTAAAATAGAGTTGTTTATTTTAAAATGTCAATTTACTATGTTTTTTTATCAGCGTGGAAGAATTAGTAAACCTAAACGAACCTTTGAAGAATGGATTGCATATACGGATGCAGATCGAGAGAAAATGAGATGTGAGATATCATGAAATTAGCAGAACTTATGCTAAAAACTAATGCTATAAAAGTTATAGACGACAATAGAAATTGGAAGTGTCCTTACTGGATATACCCAACATGTATTGGAACAAAAATCAACTCCTAACACATGCGCATGATGTTGGTTACAATAAAACTGTTGCCAATCTGAGTAAGGATTGTATTGGAGAGCATCGTGGACTAGAAATCTATTTACAATCGCTAAAATGAAAGCAATGATATGTACTATTTTACTACTATCATGTACTACTATGCTATTTTATGCATGTTTTAATTTGAATGAACTTCATGACTAAAAAATCATGTGAAAATATTTGTTGATATCACATAAAATATACCAGCCACATGTTTATGAATTCTATGGCCGAGGGTTCAGGACTTAGTCAATATCATCATTGTTAGTCATCCAATGCAATATCAATAAACATTGTAGGTTGCTCATCTCAAAATATTTGATAATCATCATAGCTTAAAAGTAAAAAAGTCACTAACTAAAACTCATGACATAACAATATTTTCATTAATAACCCACAATAGTAGTCATCCAATACAATGTAGATACATTGTAGGTTGCTTACATACAATTTTTTTAGTTGTCATGTATATGATGCCTTATAAAGTTCCTGCAAACGCATGTTCAATGTAAAATTAGATTCTACAATCATCACATAATGTTGGTAAATATGCACATGAAACCATAGGTTTATAGTTGAAGCACAACTTTCTACAATCATCACATAATGTTGGTAAATATGCACATGAAACCATAGGTTTATAGTTGAAGCACAACTAAAATCAAAGTCATACAAATAATTACTCATGAAACCATAGGTTTATAGTTGAAGCACAACTAAAATCAAAGTCATACAAATAATTACTACCTATTATAATAATATGTTCCATCATCATAATGTTCCACAAGCACATAAAATAACATCAATATATAGTACAAAATCAAATGAAACTTTCCTTAATTAAGCAAGACTTGTCTTGCACCAACAGTAAGTGGATTTAACAAGTATATTAGAAGTGAGAATCACAAAATACCACATGAGCCGATATTCATATTGTTCTTCAACCCTCATTATTGAGGAAGTCATTAATCATCTCTTTTTGACTAACCGAAGATATGCCCATAAAAAGTCTTGATTCATTCTCACTCAAAAAGAGATGACTGTATTATGCATCTAGCTTATCAAATGCTAAAGTCTTGTGAATGAGTATATAGGACAGTGGATAACTTCTCGGTCCAATGCATATTAGCACACTTAATATTTGCGCTAAATACATCTATCTTATCCACCAAGTTTTGCATGAGCTCATTATTTAGATTAGTCCTATGAGTCTTTCCCTTGGAAGTGCATGTTTTTGCCTTAGTGGTTGATGAGACAGATGCTTCCTTGAGGGGATTGAGAGGTAGGCAAAGGTGAGTCACAATCATCTCTAAGGTTGATGGACTTGTTACGACTAAACTTTTTTTTTAATGTTGTGCGCAAAGTCCCCTCTAGCTTGATCATCCTCGATGATGAGTGCAAGATCATCATAATGCTCCAAGGGTCTATTGACGTACTGCTTAAGGTTAGATTTTCTAAAGCCCTTGTCCTGAAAAAGTATATGTGAATTAATTGTTTGTAAATGAGAGAACGAGAAAAGTAGATAATGAAAATGCAACATTAGGTTTATTTACCTCAATCCACATATCCAAACACTCCGGATCCATGATGACAGTCCTGGTGCTATCATCCCATCTGGCACCACTAAGATTACGACATGTTTCCATAGCACGGAATCTTGTACGTAAAGTTTTGATGTGGTTCATGACATTCTCCCACTTAAATACAGTGTTAAATTTATCGCTTATATGTTTGGCAGCCATACGATAAGCGGTTATCTTAAAGGTTTTGTTGGGTTTGTAACCCTTTCTTACCAAGTCAACAAGTAATGGAATGAGATCATCGTCATAACATAAATCCCAAAATAAATGTTTGCTCACTCGTGAACCGCCGACATCACTATCATTTTTTTTGTTGTGTTCTTCCTCTTCTTCTTCGGGTTTGGTGAGGTTGCTTCCCCTACTTCTATGACCACCCATTTAGAACATTGACTCGGGAGTTGAGCCATAACCACTAGTGGGAGAAAGTTACAATCCACTAATATTAGGTCTATAAAATTATGGAGGAAAATTAGGAGAACTTAGCATGTTTATAAATGACCCCGATTGGTGGTGCATCGAGAAGTAATTGCCATCATGGAATGACATGTTGGGAAATGCATGAGGTGGTTGTCCAAAGAATGACTGCTGAAATGGAAAATACCCACTACTGCCTTGATGCATAGGCTGAGGAGGTTGAGGTGGTGAACGTTGAGATGGAACTACTCCCTTGCCTTTATGATTATCTCTTCCACTTAATAATGTGTTATTAGCAATTACTAATTCAATAGAGAGAGTTAGATACAATATAATTTGTAGAATGAGCAAGTCATGAATACAAGAATGACTTTGCCTAACATAATAAATAGAAAAAGCAAAATATAGAGTTAAAGAGTGCATACATGATTATAATAGTACAACAAATATGAAAAATAAGTCCAAGTGGTTATACCATGGTTATACTTATCACAGTAATCAACATATATCACCCAAGCAATGTCATCCCTAAGAGTCTTCCACTCATTTCTTGATTTAGTTTGCTCTCTTTGGGTTTGAGTTTCAGTAAAATCAACTAAATTATTGACATTCTCATTTGTCACTTCACCAACAATATCTTCATTAAAATCGGCCTTATTGAGTAGTTCATCATTTGAATCAATAATTGTAATGAAATTATGAAGTACGGTGCATGCCAAAACGATATCTACTTGTGTGGAAAAAGGGTAATGCGGCTTAGCGCACAAAATCTTGAAATGATTCTTCAATGTGCCAAATGCATATTCAATCTTAGACCTCAAAGAAAAATGTTTTAGATTGAATAATTTCCTTCTATTCTTAGGTATTTTATCCGAATGTTCTTTCAAATGATAACGAACGCCTCAGTATGGAGAGATGAAACCTGGAATTGTGGGGTACCCAGCATCACACAAATAGTATTTGCCTATGATTTTATTAAGAAAATTGTTAAGGAAGTCAAGTTTTCATATTAAAATCAAAAGTTTTAAGTAAAATTTTTAAATAAATACCATCATAGGCTCTCAATCTATGAGGTTGTGGTCTAGATAATGCATCTTGGTGAATCATATAATCATTTGCAGACCCCTCCCAACCTGCTAAAACATAAGTGAACAACTTATTTGGGGTGCAAGCTGCAAGCACATTATGTGTAACACCTTTGCGGCCTTTAAATCGTGCAACAAGATTAATCAGTAGCATTGCGTCAACATGTGTCCCATCTATCATACCAATACAATTGTATAATACATGTATCCGTATCACATTACTAAGTTAACATTCATTTTCATTGAATTTACAGACTTCCGTGCTTAAAGTGTAGATATACCTTGAAATAAGGGTAGTATAGCGGGTTGTTACTGATCTCTTGGGGAACGTCATTGGGGGTTTATCTCATGTAGCGTCCACACGAGAAAATAATTGCTTGTAATACCTTGTTGAAATATCTACTGCCTGTCTCGCCTGATCTTATAAAATGAGACCTCACAATACAATTTTTAGATTTATGACCCAGAATGTTTAGTGTCATGATAAGCTGTTCTTCTACTGTTACATTCCTTGAGTCTTTTGGAAGCCTATTGTTCCTCATTATACTTGCTAATTTAACAAAAGCACCACTTCGTATTCTACTGTAGTTTACACAACTATCACTAAACTATTATAAATACGCTCTATATGTTCACTTCTAGCCTTTTCTTGTATTATTTTTTCCTCATTTGGACCATTACAAATTGATTTACGTCTAACTTGCATTCTCCTTATGAACGTAAATATTATAATAAATACAGATAATGCAGCCCCTTGAATCATGTTAACAACACTTTGTTCATCCATACAATCCCCATCACCATCCATCTACGATACATACACCAAATTGAAATAAGTAATATGGCTAGCAAGTATGACAAATAGATATAAACAGTTCAAATATCAT